ATTGATTGTCATCTCATACGGGAGAAAGTTCAAAAATGAATAATAAAGTTGACTCATGTGTCTATTTTAGAACAGCCAGCAGACGTTTTCACAAAACCACTAAACTCTTCTCAGTTCTCGATACTACTCAGCAAGTTAGGAGAATTATTAACATACATTCCAAACTTAGGTGGAGTGTTAGGTGTTATGATTGGAAATAATTTATTCTTATAAATAAATTATTTCTTTAGAATTAGTGTTATGATAGGAAATAATTTATTCCTGTAAATAAATTATTTCCTTAGAATTAATGAGATATTTGTTTTCCTATTTTATGTTATTTCATATATGTTACTATTTTATGTTATTTCATATATCTCCTAATAATTAATATGAATTAATTATTGGAGATATCAGGTGTTATACTCTTCCTTTCATTTCATTTCCTTTTATTATTTTTCATACTACAAGATTCTTGTAAGGGTTATTTATAATCTCATTCATATCAATGAAATATTGAGTATTCCACCACATTATTCTGAGTTTTAACTGTAGGAAATGGCTTTTCATCAGCTTACGCATCATCCTCAAACTTTTTATTCAACACCGGCCTTCTTTCTTGCGGGATTGAGTTAATTAGCACACAAAGCTCTAGCTCCACCTTTGAGTTTACAAGCAACATACTTAACTTCTTTATAGAATAGAATATCCATATAATCGAAAAGGACTTGACCGATTGCTCCCAATCCAAGTAATCTTCAATGTGCAAATGACCGTCAAAGAAGGGTATGTCAATTATCACCTTATAATCTCCACCATTTTGACCTTCGGATTGGTGAGGTTTGTAGTTGGACTCCCAAGCGAGGATTTTAACCTCCAAATCAGAGTCATAAATAGTCAGACATCGGCGAAGAAGTTGGTCCTTGTCGAACAAAACGTTTTTGTTACGGCCGGTTAACGCTTGCCTTTGGGTTGTCTTAGATCTCGAGTTAACACAACATCATCTCCAAGAGCAGGTGTGGTTACCGGTGGAAAATTTTCATTGATCCTAATTGCTCATAGCTCGATCCTAACCTCGTCCAAGAACTTAGTGAAATCAGAATTAATGACATCAAATTAACGTTCAAAACGGGAGTGAGCTTCGCACAAATCCTTCCAATTAAGATCCTCGTCACGAAAAATTATTCCATATGAACAACGTATTTTGGCTGCTGTCTCTCATGAGGCTCCGATAACAACTGAAGCACACGAACCTGCATAAAGGAAGAAAAAGAATAACTAAGGAAGACCAGAAAAAAAAAATTTTTTTCTTACTGTCAGAAACTAAATACCATCACGTACGCAGAACCTGCTCCTTCTCTCCTAGAAAGTCATAACACCTAATACAAAAATTGTTATTTTGACCCCAAATTAATGAACTAAGGTAAAAGGGTACTTTCGTAATGTGGTACCTCTCACCTACCACATCTCACCTACAGTTCACCTACCGTTCACCTACCGCTCACCTACCTCCCACCTACCGCTCACCTACGCGTCTATAAATAGAGAGGGTGTGAGGCTTAGGAGGGCAAGGGAAGAAATCTTAAGGGTGTGAGGCTTATGAGAGAAAGGGAAGAAATCTTAAGGGTGCGAGGCTTAGAAGAGCAAAGGAAGAGATCTTAAGCTACCACAAAGGAGGAGAGAATAGCTAGAGAGCTAGAGAGGAGGAGAGCATCTTGAGGTCTTGTATCAAGGTGTCGCTTGAGAGGGAGGTCATAGAAGGAAGATGAGGGCTCATCTCTATGTATAAGCTATGTATTCTCCATTTCTTTTGCTTTAGTGAACTATTTGATTGATTCCCTTCCGTGAACGTAGATCCAGTTGGATCGAACCACGTAAACGATCTGTGTTTGCTTGTGTTCTTTTTCGCCTCATTTCTATGTCAGGAAGTACATATCTCACAACAATTGGCGCCGTCTGTGGGAAGATCCATACTTCTTGGCTAGAGGTGTCCGCGTAAAGGTGTTTGCGGCCAGCAACGAAGAAGAGGAGTTAGACATTCACGAACAAAGGAGCAAGCAGATCGCGTCGCAGACAGTCGAATCACGACAGATTCGGTGAGCAGTGGAAGCTTTTTACGGCCGGGATTGGACTGGATTTGCACTGCAGATTATGCGGTTCGGCGAGACAGAGGAGGAATTTCTAATTTGTTCCGCTGGACGCAGAGGAGTGCCTGCAGGAAGGAGGCGCGAGCACAGAACTGGAAGTTTTCTCCGGTGAACAGGTGTGATCTCTGTCAGAAGGGATCAGAGCTTTACGTTCAGTTGACGAAGGCAGTGGAGTTCACGGGGAGAAAGTAAGAAATTTGGTGAGAATTTCTTGGATAACAAGACGTTAATAGGCAAGATTAAAAGGCAAGTTTAGGCTGAAAACTTTTGGTTGTTATACAATAGTACAACATTTTGGTGATTTCAGTCTAGTTCTTGGAAGGGCAACATGTAGAATTTATTGGAAGAAATCCTAGCCACGATAATGAGTTCCACCAAATTTGACATCGAGAAATTCAACGGGAATAATGATTTTGGTCTATGGAGAGTAAAGATGAGAGCTCTATTGATTCAGCAGGGTGTTGAAGAAGCCTTGCAAGAGTCGACGACATTGTCGACCGACATGACCGAGAAGGAGAAGATCAGCATAATGGGCAAGGGCCAACGTTTGCTAATCCTGAGCTTGGGCGACAAAGTACTGAAGGAGGTGTCGAGGGAGACAACGACTCAAGCACTTTGGGCCAAACTTGAGGTACTCTATCTGACAAAGTCCCTGGTTAATAGGCTCTTTCTGAAGCAGCGCCTATACTCCTTCAAAATGCATGAAGACAAATCCGTCTCAGAGCAGATCGACGAGTTCAACAAGATCATCGACGACCTCGAAAACATCGACGTCAAGTTAGATGATGAGGACAAGACACTACTGTTGTTAAACTATATTCCTAAGAGCTACAAGCATTTCAAAGATGCGATGCTCTATGGAAGGGTGTAGACTATTACTCTGGAGGAGGTTCAATCTCTGATTAGAGCTAAAGAACTTCAGAGGAAGCATAATAGGGACAAGGAAGTCAGCGGAGACAGTCTTATTGTCAGAAGAAGATCAGACAAGAAAGATTCAAGAAATGATCAGTACAGATCAAGGTTAAGCAAGGATGGCGGGAATCAGTCATCAAGGGGATCTTTCAAGTGCTATCATTGTCACAAAGACGGTCATTTCAAGAGGAACTGCCCAGACAGGAAAAATAAGTATCAAGAAGAGCTAGAAGAATCAGGAGAAGCAAGCGTAGCCTCTGATGACTACCATTCTGCTGAGGCCCTCGTGATCACAGAATCTGAATCCAGTAAAGAGTGGATCCTCGACTCAGGGAGTTCTTTCCACATGTGTCCTCACAAAGACTGGTTC